ATAACTTTCCAACGTTCTATTTTTACCGTATCTATGTAATTATATGTATGTTAAAATGATATTGATTAGTACGACATATGAATTCGCTCGTATGTATGTGACAGCAATAAGTATTACGCTTTTTACTAATAAGGCTTATGATTTCTTAAGGGAAAGTTTAATGAAACAATTGTGCTAATATCCAATAGCAAGTGCAATTGGAAAGTAAGTAATACTTATACCACCTACATACATCAAAAGCTTGCATTTCTTTTGTTTATCAGCGAAAAATTATGAACTCAAATTGTATGAAAATAAATAAAAGTAAAACAAAAATATTGATTTGCAAGGGAAGAAAAAGTAGGGAAAGAGCGAATGTAAAGGTAGGAGGGGTATGATTAGAAGAAGTGGCTGATTTTAGGTACCTAGGAAGTCAGGATGGAAGGAATAGTAAGGATATAAAGTAGAGGATAGCGCAGGGTCGAATCGCCTTCAATAAAAACAAGTCACTTCTATGCTCGCGAACGGTTAATTTAAAAATTCGAAAAAGGTTGTTAAAGGTGTATGTTTGGAACGCGGAGCTGTACGGGTGCGAAACATGGAAGATGGGCACTGCGGAAAAGAAAAAAATATGGTGTTACAGGCGAATGTTGGGGATACCGTAGATAGAGAAGGTTAGAAATGAAGGGATATTAGAAAGAATAGGAGAACAGAGGACTCTATGGAAGTCAATAAGAAATAGACGAGATATGATGGTAGAACACCTTCTCAGACATGAAGGTCTAGTCAGAAGGATATTAGAGACAGAAATGGAAGTTAGGAGGGATAGAGGTAGACCTAGATTAGATTACTGTTCGCAAATAGTTTTGTTTATTTATTGGTTATTGATGAGACTTGCAGTGCCAAAAAAAAAAACGTTTCACTATTTAGGAGTTAAATTTTGAAAAAATTCTTTATAAAAACAGAATTTTACAACTTTAGAAGTTTCCTTCCAATTTCAGTCCAACAAATCAAGGATGGAGGCTGGGATTTTGATATAATCACCTTCTGATTTCAGATTTTATGATATTTAGAGTGTTTTTTCATTTAACACAATACTGAAACACATTTACTGAAGCTTTCAATAAAAAGATTAATTCTAAATCACCTCCCCAGCCCTACCCTTCAAGAGGAAATTTTCTATTATGAGCATCAGTAGGCAAACTATTTACAATTATCTCTCTAATAAACGAGCGTACCATTATGTGTACTTCTTTGCGTGCCAATACCAATGCACATATCGTACATTGTTATGCGGGCTTTAAAGCATGACGGTGATCGGTGATCATTATATTGGTATTGGGAAGTTCGACGAACCTGTGATGTGTTTATAATAAAATGTATAGATACAATACCTGTCCACCAGCACTCTATTTCAAACCATTTTATAATTAATTTCTTCGTTAAAATATTCTATAAGTATGACATATGCTTTATCTTTTATATTCTTTAAAATCACACTCATAAAAATGACCAAGTTCTGGAGGAATGTTCAATAAAATCAAGCGGTCTACCGTTAAATGTTCGACTCCATTCCATGACCTGAAGCACTGCTTCCGAAAACTTCTTCCAACATTTAAAGAATTCACCTATTTTATCCTAATACTTACTACCACACCAAAAAAATACTCTTTACCAAAAGCGTTTAAAATCGTTTAGAATGTTTATCTTTTATTGAACTTACAAATAAATATTGTAATTCCAAAGTTAAAAAAGTAGATATTGTTGAAAATAAGCAAGATTGCTTTGTACTGTAGCTGATAAAAAATCCCAAAGAAGAAAATCACAAAAATGTGCTTCGCCTCCATCTTATTGTTTGTGCCCTTTCCTGAAAAGAAATACTCCAAGCTCTAAATGATCCAAGATTTGCCCAAATGTGACCCCACTTCATCAGATCTTTGAGATTCATCATTCCATAATTCTACCGAAGCTTTCTAAATTTCTTTGAGAAAACAGAACACCGTTTTGAAATTTCTTTCGGTAAATCATTAATTCTCGCTCTCTAACGAATTTAGTATTTACCTACGATCTTGTATGTTTGACAAATCTATCCGTCCAGTTTTTAGTGTTTACCTTCTGGTTAGAGAACCGAATTTTTATTACCGTCATCGTCAGTATTGTACATTTGCGCTAGCATGCGAAAACATCAAAATTCGAGACGAACGTCCCGAGGACCTTAATAATAAGATATGATACTCTACGTGAAACGTGGCATGATACACACAATAATAATGTGTACGGTACGACCACGATGATGGTGTCGAAACAAGAAGACAGTTAAGTGTACAAGAATCGCTGAATCGCTTTTGGTCGTTGAACCCGCCCAGCCTTGACACTGAAATGAAGAAGGCGCAAGTGAGCTGCGGAAGACACGCCATCACGCACACGGTGTGCCATGCTGCAAATTATTATTAACTTTGTACATACGCTGGTAATTCTTTTGATGGTTAATGCTAAAATATAGGTCGCCACGGTACTATCAAAAAGAAAGAGAGAGATGAGAAAACAACCATCGTCTTGCAGTGCCATTGGTAAAAGTTTATAAATAAATACACGTCCGGGTCCGATGACCAAGTTACCCAAAATCTTCAAAGGGAACTTCCAAGAGTCTTGTCAATATCCGATATCGTCGAATATACGTACCTCAACTGCAAATGCCTTACAGCTGAGTTAAATCTTTGAACTGATTCCGCTGGTCTAATTATGAAAAGTTTTACTTATCACCAGGTCAGTCCGAGATTGACCTGAATCAGATCAGAATTCGCAGACAGTTGGGGTTATCGAATGTTCTAATTCTCAAGAACTACAAAGATTAGCTCATGACAGGATAGAGATGAGAAAACGACCATCCTTTTGTAGTGGCATTGGTAAAAGTTTATACATAAATACACGTCCGGGTCCGATGACCAAATTACCCAAAATCTTCAAATGGAACTTACAGAAGTCTTGTCGATATCCGATATCCACGAATGTTCATACATCAACTGAAAATGCCTTACAACTAAGTTAAATCCTTGAAGTGAGTCCGCTTTTGAAAAAGTTTACCTATCACCAAGTCGGTCCGAGGTTGACCTGAATCAGATCAGAATTCGCAAATAGTTGGGATGTTTTAGTTCTAAAGAACTACGAAGATTAGCTCATGGTAGAAAAAAGTGGAGTTTCATGTCCAACCAGTTTTCCAATTAATGTCCCTATAATAACGACGATAACCAAAAGGAACGAAATAGTAAAAGTCTATTTGGACTGAATCATCTTTATCTGAAACTTCTTTATCTGAAACTTCTACCAATGAAAAATGGTACGAAATTTTGAAAAATCAAAGCAAAAGAATCAACATTCGCCAGTTTCCTGAAGCTATTAGGCATGAAGAGATATTTAGATTAGTTAGAGACATATTAGGTACAGAAACAAAAGTTCAGTGGAGCAATTATGGACCCAGTTTAAATTGCTGTTCGTAAATAGATAGAAATGTAATTTACTCTGGATTTCGAAAAGTTGAGAAGCGCATACAACCAGTCTTCGGGTTGAAGAGTTTATGATGATGATGACGCTATGAACATCGTTATTTTTCACTTGAATTTAAATTGCTTTCTATTTCTGTAGTCATTATTAGTATTATAGCATAAAATGATTAGTAAGTGTATGATCTTTTACAAAAGAATTTTTGAAAAAAAATATCTATTAGGTAATTTATTTTTATTCACCAGTGTAGACATTTTTCCTCGGCTTTAACTAGATTCATTCAAGTGATTGTTTGTAGGAGGATTGCCAGTTTTATAACCGCACGAAATTATAAAACATAGATAAACTGTTTAAACAAAAACGTTTTAACGTAAGCGTAATTTAATTAATTTGTTTTCTTTTTTCAGGCGTATGACGTGAAGAGTTGACATCATGGTTATAGTCACTAGGGTAAGTAAAAACTGTTTAATCAAATCACTAATCTGAACGAGAATAAAAAGTGCGAACATTTTAAGCATTTTTTAATTTTTTTTTCTCATTTAAAGTAAATTGTAGTAATTTAAATACACTGAAAAAAAATTGTGATGATGGGCTAATATCTTGCCCTTTCTCTATATTTATTTTCAAATGCACATGTGGCAAATCCGAAGCTCTATAACTTACTAAGATCCATGACTTATGAATTACTTCAGCGCGGTAAAAATATTATGTGAGAAGAATTAAGTTAGGAAATTTATCCCTCAGTATAAAAGGAAATGAAAGTAAAATGCAGCTTTTAGTAGAATTTGCTACTAGACATCAATTCCGAATTTTCACTACGCCAACAACATTCCTTCGTAGAAGATTACCATTACGACAAGTACCCTTTTCCAGGAAGTAAAATCTTTATTTAAATAGCCAGGTGAATGACAATAATAAAAAATATTAATTGACTGGTGTCAACTTTATCTGAACCACCAAATCCGTCAGCAATGTCTGACAACAATAAAAAGGCAATCGATTAGACAGCAATTGTTAGATTCGCTTTAAATGGGTACCTGGGACCGTTATTCAAGCCGTGGTAAATTCTTCCCCACTGTATGTACAAATAGTACATCAAATTTTAATAATAAATCCTTAAGAACAGATGCAACGGGAACAGAGTTCTTCAGTCAAGGGTAAGTTAGAGATACTTACCGAAAGCTCCATATCAGAGGAGTTATTTTCGGCGTGTGGACAATTTGCTAGGAGCTTTTGACACCAAATAATATATAAGAACTCATCCTTTAAAAATAAGATTACCACTATTCCAACTCTGATTTTTAATTATTTAAGTAGGTACTTTAAATTTATTAAAAACCCATACAAAATAAGATGTACAACACACAATGAATATGATATTTCATACAACCTTGACATACAGAAAACGTGTTGATTGCATATGCGAGGAGTACATTATTTCATTTATTATTCATTATTTATATAAAAACTGAGTGTAGACTATCCTTTAGGTCGAGAAACGTCCGTCTTTAACGATTTANAAACTAAAAATCTGGAATTGACTGACTAGACCGTAAGTTCTGTATATCATCAAAACTCTTCTTGGCTTTTGATGATATATCATCAAATGATTTCATAGTCTGATTGAGAATTTCATCAGTACTTTTTACAGCAGAATTCTTCAGCTCTTGCACCTCACTGTTTAGCTTACTAATAACCCATTCCATTGCCTGTCTTCCTTTACCTGCATTAACTGATATTTTATTTGTTAATGCATCTTCCATATAACTATTCAGTGGAACACCCTGTACAGTAACCACAGCCTCTTGTTTGAGAAGTGTTTTGTTGGGGTCTGTAGGGTGAGGGGTGTACAATAATGTTTCATCCACTGCGATGAATCGGCAAAATGTTAAGTTGTTTGTTTTTAAAACCATCTGCTTTGTTGATGGATTCACTTCTGATTTTTCACTAGCATAACACACAGATGGGGAGCCTATTAACTGGAAGAAAAATCAATTTTTAAAACATCTTTCTACAATAACACTTACTTAAAAAAATTAGCTTATAATTAACAGTAGCTAAGTGAAATTGTAGTAACATTAATCTAAAAATCTCAATATAATTATGTAACCATATGATCAATAAGATTATCAATAATATTTTAAAGATTTAAGTTGACTTTCTAAATTAATAGGTAAGGTTATGTATCACTGCCAAGATACTGATACTACAGTGCAAATGACCCTGAATTACAAAGGTTAAAAGTTCCAGTCAAATATAGTAAAAGTACTTAAAAATAAGTATTGAAAGCATCAGGTTATTAGATAACTAATGTATTCAACCTGAAATAACTAAGAGATTTTGAAACATTTGTGGAATGTCAATAGCACTGTAGAATAAAGGTGTATGTACTTGCACTTGTAACGTGTAAGTGCAAGTAAAAAATAGGATCAACTAAAAATCTTATCAGTTATAATTTTAAACACTTTAACAATGCATAATAAATACTTACTTTGGAGGCCCACCTAGGAAGCGTCCATTTGGAACTAACTAACCTATGCGTGTGTAATACGCCGTCTACAACCCTCCTTTCTACAACATCAGTACCAATAACTGCTGTATTGTGTGGATTTGGATATTTCCTCCAAGCTGCCGTGGCTACTGTTTCCCACGGGTGACTAGAAAAAAGGGAAAACGAACATTTTAAAAAAAATTGATACAAAATCGTATTCGTTACTTACTTAAAAACATGTTCACTTGTCCAAATTCTCATAATGATACTTAACGATCCGTAGAAATCAGTAGCAAAGACAAAAGTATCCAAACATCAGCACACTTGACACTCCGACAGCAATTCGAAGAGTGGAAAAAAAATTGGTAGGAAAATCTAATTATGACTGATTAACAACGTCATTGAAAAGAGACGGAATGATAAGAATTTCCACAGCAATATAATGCAAAATTACGTAAGGTAATGTTCAGTAACGTCACACTGCGTAAAGCAATTGAAACCATCAAAGTACAAAGGTTAAATTCAAAAAACTTACTCTCAGAGACATCTTTTAGTCGATAGACACATTAAATAGAAGTTCCTTACTTGGAAAGCACTTTCTACAAACAGAACCCTGCAGGAACGGGTGCAAAAGAACATTAGAACGTACAAAGAACATAAATTAAATAAAAGCGAACCTTACACTTCCAAAATTTCTGATTTTCATGCCGCTTAACAATAAATTTATAAAGCAAAACTTTTCGCGCGGACACTTTGTGCCATCTAATGGCAGAATTTCAATCTCACTAATTTATTTACCTGTCCGCATGAGGCAGGCCAATCGCAGGTAAAGTAATTAAGGTAAATGAAACTTTACTTTGCCACTTACTGATTGTTGTGCGTGCGAACAGGTGACCGGTTGTTTAAAGTTTCTCAATGACATAAGTTTGTGTTTCTGTAGTGAACTTTGCCACGCAATCAAAAATATGATTTGGATTATTTAGCGCCCTTCGATTGCAGGTAATTTTTACCTGTTCTACTATTCTAAAGAAACGAATGAGATCCTGTTGCACTACTTAACAAATGCAGGTAAAATAACTGTGCAGTTGTAGATGCCATTGCATTCTATCAACCCGTTTTTTTTTTTATTACTCTTTTAGGGTAAAACAGAAAAGTTTGAAACATGCGCACCCTTAAATATTTAATATTTAATTATCGCTGTAATTATCACATTACCTAGGGACTAACAAAATAAAAATTAAAACCAATTTAATTAAGCCATACTGCCTTTATATTATTTTCTTTTACGAATTAATATTTTTAAAAGTTTTTCAAAAAAATTTATTGCATTCAGGCAGGCTCGTTAACTTATTAATATTTAATTTCGCTTCTGTAAATATTGGGATTAGTGTTCCGAGAAATATTTATAAAATAAAGACAATAGCGCTTCCTAGTTTTACTTTCTTTGCGAAACATCTAAATAGGTATTTATCAACTTAATTATTAGCAAACATACATTATAGAATATTGTACTACTCCACACACGCTTGTATATTGTACAAGTTTATAAAACTGAGATGTTGCAGGATCCGCTTTCTATAAATAGAAACATTTTCACCGGTTTGTCTGTCAAGAGAAATTATTGCTTAATAATTAAATTATCCCATATTTACAAGCAACTTTTGTCAACTCAGCCTCAGGTTTTTAGTACTACTTAGTAATGTTAGCAATTCACAATTTCAAATTTTTTACAAAAAAAAGAAGAAAAACTGCATTTACTAAACGTTTTGTTATTGATAACTATTGCAGTAAATTAATAATATTAAATTAGTCATCATCGTTTTCTTATTAACAATCCAAAATTAACTTTCGTAGAAATAATTTTTTCATTCGCATTGACTCATTCATTTTCGTAACTGATATAGCATTTTTACTTAAAAAAANTACTTTACATTTAACAAGCTTTCACTTTCAATATAAACTTTTGTTCTTAAAAACTAATTCAAAGAATTCTGGTTAAACACACCAATAATTGATTTTATTTTATGGAGAATTATTTCAAATTGAGTGCACAAACTAATTCAATTTATTTCTTTTAAAAATATATAGATGTTTAGATATTATTCAGTTATAAACAGTGCAATTACAATGCAATTTTTTGTATAAGTTGAGTAATTATAAATTTCAAGGTAATAAATGTTCAAACGCGTCTAAGGTGTACAATGTACAGGTTCTTAGTTTCAATTCTTTTTCCATTAAAATTGAATATGAATACATGTTTGTGTTTAAAAAGAACACTAAAAAATGATCGTGCAGTAAGGTCATGGTCACTACAAATTTAGTTAGCAAACACAGTTTATTATTCAAAGCGGAGCTAGAAAATTTTCACAAATAACGCCTGAGTTACGTACATCATACCAATTTTATATTTATTCAAAGACCAATAATTATCACGGTTATCAGAACAGAAAATTAATTTGATGAAAACCTGATAAGAAAAAGGCGCGTATACGTGTTGGGGAGTTCCAGGTTTATTACTAGGAAATGTGAAAATATTATAGGTACTTTTTTATTTTAAAGTACTATTAATCAGATCAAAAATCTATTAAAAAATCAACTACAAAATATTGGGATATTATTTTTATTGCAATTAATTATTTAATTTTATGGACGCAATTCCTTTGTGTCTGTGTTTAATTGAATTAACTTCTTTCTCCATCTTCGCAAAGACAAATTGTGAGCTCTTAATCATACTTTAAAAAACATCTATGTTTGTTTATCAATATTTAAAAGATAACGTTTTCGAATTAGTATAAATCAACAATTTTCTCTACTTTCGTAAATCCGTATCGTCAAGCTAACGCATCCGCATCACAAACTCGCCAAACGATTCACATGAGAATTTAGTGTTTTAATTAACATTTTAACACTCGTTATATGAAAACCAGTGTGAAACCTAAACAAAATTGCTACTACCAACATGCGTAATTACATCGGATATATTCTAAAATTCTGCTATCTTCCTCCAAGTACGTAACTGTCACACCTACTGCAAAAATTGCTTAAAATAAATCAATAAATTTGAAAAATATTGCTAGTATAGTAAGATTTCTTACCATCGGAAACAAAATTACCATCACGTTCCTGGATGGAGCATTCTCCTTCCGCTTTAGTACTTTTTGGCATAAGAGTGCAACAAAAATTATAGTGACTTTAAAGGTGTTTTTTTTTTGCAATAAAAATAAATCTTACTATACTAACAGTATTTTTCAAACTTATTGATTTATTTTAAACATTATTACGTGAATTGTTTTGCAAATATTACGTATGAAATCCCTCTGTTTTTACATTCCTAATGTTAACACGTACCAAAAAAGTAATTACTATTTTTCAATTCTCAACTTAAACTGGATTAACCTTATTTATCTTCGATCTAGACGTATCGAATTTACGACTTAAAATAATTGCAATTTCACTTGTTGTTAGTCTGCTACGTATACATATTGTATATAATATAATGTTTAGTTAATTGTAGGATTGTAGGTTTATGATTATTATTGTCATGCATAATTCATTATCGAAAAGAAGTAGTTATTATTATGTTACTGTATATTAACCATATGAAACTTCCCTCAAGGTGAATAAAACGAAATGTAGTGCGTGGATATGGCTGCAGAAAGCAACGATTTAAGTGTAATACGTACACATTTGTGTAATAAAAAGTCTGCTCCACATACCTACAAACTCAATTTAATTACAATAACGTATTTAGTTCGATAATGAATTATAATTCACCGCTTCATGCATAGACACAATGATGCCAAAATTGGTTGGAGCACGTGTAAAACTGTTTTGTCACTTTGGGCACATCAAATTGTACGTGATTATCAGAAAATAAAAATTAATTTTGAATATATTTAATATGAATTTAATTGAAATTGAAAAAAAAATTGAAACTATAAAGAAAAGGATATAACTGCTTATTACAGTATGATGAATAGTTCTAACAGTTAATCTAATACAACTTTTAGTTTCCTTTTTCGTCAACTATGCTAAAACTGGTCGCACAATTTTTTTTAAATCAAATCAGTTAAATTAATTAGGTAACTTCAACCTATATTGAAACTGACTGCCAATAAAAAACCGCTGTATTAATATTTAGATATAATTATTTTTTGTTTTTATGTAAAGATTTATTTTTTTCACTTACCAATCTGTCTAAGTATTGTGCATTTGGAGCAGTAGTGGTTCACTCACCTGAAAAAAAGAGAAATTATTGAATAAACTAAAAAAATAGCTTAGAGTGAAAGTTCTTGTCGATTTTATACCATCCTCTTAATTTAATATTTGTACCTATGCATAAAT